AGCATGCCTCCTGTTTGTCAAATCGCGTCCGTGATTCACCCACTGGAAAATTCCAGGCAAACCAAAAGTAAAATTTCACTATGTCAATACGGATGTGTATATATCTATATGTACACGAAAGTTGATGAAAGGAGCCGTGAGGTTGGAAGTGGGAATTACTTACATCTCCTACTGAGTAATCTATAGATACAAATAAACAGAATATCGCTGCTAAAATGATGATGATCTGCATTTTGATTGAAGCTAGTTATGGGAAGATAATTAACCTGAGTAAATTTCTTCACAGCTCATGCTTGTCATCAATTTATAGGTAAAATGTAGGCAGTTTGGTCATATACGTCCTAATTTTTGGTCTTCTTTTTCAAAAATTTCAGCTTTTTTTCAGTTCGTAATTCGATTTACTTCGATTTAAATCTACATTTTATAAATGAGTCGTGGATGAAATGACAAACTATCCGGTTAGCAATTAAGTTATTATTTTCTTTTACGCTTCGTAAGAAAAGATATATTAATTTTCAAAAGTTTTTCAAGGATAAATTACAAAAAATTTTTAAATTCCAAATAGAAAAGTATATATATATATATATATATATGGTGACGCCTAAGGGAGCTTTACAAAATTGTGTAAGCTAGAAATTGACTGATTTTCAGATACTTTAGATAGGGTAAGAAAACAGATACGTATTTGAAATCTGGGTACGGCTGAGGAGGTTGTCCTCCATTTCAGGGCAATGGTTAGTACTAAAATTTTCTTTTGCATTAATTAATGGTGAGAAAACAACATTTTATTTCTAGTTCTATATATATAAAGATATATATATACATATATATATATGTACATATATGTGTGTATGTGTATGTTATTGAAAGAAATTATTTCAGCATCAACGAGTAATGATGAACTCTACCAGTATTTCCTATATTATCTTAAGCATTTTCTAGATTCTTGCAACAATTTTTTTTGTAAAATCTAAAAATGTCAAATTTTAACGAAAAATACATATTAATCCTTGATTAAGAAATTACATATACATATATATATATATATATATATATTTGATACTGAATTAGGATTGAGATGGCAAGGTATTGAAGGCTAAGCATATTTAACAATATATCCTTGTGCTTTGAATTATACATATATATATATATATATATATATACAAACATAATAGCCACTTTGTAAGTACCCTAATTAATTAAATAGTTATCTGTATACATAATATATAGTTTATAAATAAGTTGAATATACATATATATATATATATATATATATATATGAGATTGAATTGATACTACTTTGTCAACCCTATATTCTGACGTCGTCGTAGTACATACGTAGCATAACCAAAGATAATAAAAGGGAAAAAAACACAGCTTGTGATGATGATGATGATGATATATATATTTCCATCATCATGGTGTTAAGATCAGCTTCAATGGTGGATCGATGTAAAGTAAGGTAGCTACCAGAGTTCCCCCAAACACTTCAGTATTAGGCCTAAAATGAGCCCGCATGCATTGAAGTGGTCAGGGAAACTCCAGGGAGAACCTCACACTTCCTTCTTTTTCATCACCATCACCTGCTACCTCCTCCAGTAACATGCACAGTGACTACATATATATATATATGTGTGTGTGTGTGTGTATGTACGTGTGTTTACATGCATATATATATACATATATATATATATAGATTTAGAGTGGAAAAGGTTTGGTTGTGTATGAGGGAGGGACCATTTTAAGAGACGATGAGTTTCTATAGAGATTGAACGTAGTCAGAATTGTGGGAAATATGAAAGATAGAGAATCATTTTCATATGTACACACACACACACACACACTTTCATATATGTATATATATACCTCCATAGTCTACCGTCACATCATCCTCAATTAAAATATTACTTAATGAACTTTCTGGTGATCTGTACATACTACTTCCTCTCTTATAATTACCCTTGCTACAACATTGGAATGCAACATGTATGCTGATTGTTACATGCAACATATTTGGTTAGACTTTAAAAATTTTGTAATATAAAAGTTTTTAACTTAGTTCCAACAACAGATATTAGAGTTTGATTTGAATATGAACGTTACTGAAGTAGTGAATTTATGTTCATAAAGATTGAAAAAGCATCTCGAAGTGATATCTTTGGAGATCAACAAAGATAATTATATAAAGTTGTAAACGTTACGAAAATAATTTCAAACTTTACGAATGAAGGAATTATAGAGAATAGAATAATATTTCTCGAAGGTGATTGAGATTGTAAACTAGATGATGAATTACAGTAAAAATTTTTTTTACCAAAAAGTAATTGAAATTTTTTTGATTAGTTTGTCTGAAATATATAAATACATTGTTGCTGTAATTGAAGAGTCAAAAAATTTGTTCACTTTTACAATTCAATAATTAATTAGTTCCTAAGAATCATACAAGGTGAGAGAATAGTTGAGTGAGAGTAACTTAGTTGAAAGTGCTTTCAGCACAGAAAAAAGTTTTCAAAAAATCAAAAGAATTTTCAGAAAAAAGGCGAACAAGATGTACAAAAACAGTAGAATCAAACTAAAAAAGAAATAGGATCAAGTAGCTCAAATATCTAGTATAACATATATAAGAAATCGAATATAGTACGTCGAAACGTTAAATATTGCAACAAATGTAAGAAGTACATACATATTGTGAAGCATTGTTGAACTAGAGATCATGATCGAGTAAATTTTTCTGAAGGAAAGGAGAATACAAAATATATTTTTCATACATGCCATGAAAAGAAAATCCAAAAAAGATTTTTTATACATGCATTATTGCAATAAAAGATAAGACTAAAAAAATAGTTATCACCAACTGTTTTAGTGAATTAACTACTAGTTTCGACAATCGAGTATGATCCAAATAGTATCTCAAGATAAGATGAGTTTAGTTCTTCGAGCCCAAGTTTCAATAGAAATATTTGAGAAAAATCGAATGCTCCAGAGTCACCTCTAAAAAGGATAAAAAATTTACTAAAAATTTATGAGTCATGTAATTTCACCCTAGTTGACCTACAAATCTTTAGAGAAGTTAAGAAGCAACGAAAAATTTTAGGTGAAAAAGATAATGCAAAGGTGGATGAGATTGAAGAAAAATAGTAGAATATCAAAATATGAAAGATAACAATCAGATTGGACTATGATCGACCGAGTTTATTTCCCAAAATAAATCAGGAGAAGCAAAAGAGCCATTAATGTTCAACTACTAGTGAAAATTATAGTGGATCAAGAAAGGCATAAGAATTTTTGGTTAAAGGGAGAGAGAACAATGATACAAACTAAATGAAGTTTTGTATGTTTTAACATAAGCACCAGAGCATGTGACAGTCAAATAAATAATTACTTTGCATAGATGAATTTAGACAGC